TGGAAAGGCAGCTGGGGCTGGTGAGGAACTTGAGGATTGGAAGCAGAGCGGCTCTGAGGAGAAGTGGATGGCAGAGCACCGGGCTGCTTGAACATCTGTATATAAGTCTTGTCCTCGTTGGCCGGAGCTACATCCCAGGTAGGAAGGGTCTTGTAAGCCGGAGGAATGCCTCCGTTGAAAGTATAGTCCTTATCGGATTGCTCCGCGCTCTCCTTCTTCATGCGCTTAATAGGGTTGAACTGGTCATTGATTGACGGTCGGTCAGAGATCGGCCGTGGCTTCTTCGCGCCAAAGAAGACAGAAGGGCTTGTAGCGCGGGAGACAGATCGGCCCCTAACAAATGGCGATGGGCTGGACGAGGCGCCAGGGGTAAAGGTACTGGCAGCCGGGTTTGGCTTGAATTCCAGGGCTCTTACGTTGAACTTGCTTGAAACAGCAGAGGTAGGCGTCTGCGTCTTATTTGGGCTCGATACGCCGGGATGATCCGCCGCAGGGCCACTAGGAGGAATGCGAACCTCCTGGATCGGCAAAGGCGCGGGGACAGGCGCCATTGCCGCTCCCTTCCGCTGTTGCAGATTATCAGCCAGTCGGTGACTGAGCATACCGGTGCCCGGACGACCTGGGTGCATTCCTTGGGTTGGGAGCCGCCCACCGGGTCCAGCCTGCGGGCCGGTTGGGGGATACATCTGGCGACCGCGAGAATGATTGGGGCGATCGGGCTGAGTAGTGGTCTGCACTGTTCCACTGACACGAGCCGTGGGCTTCTGCTCGGTGGCTCCTGAGACAGCCTTTGACGCCAATTTTTCCTCGGCCTGTTGTTGAGCTCTCTGAATGATTTCCTCCTGCTTCTGAGGGTCCTTCGCGAGAATAGGTACCAAGTCCTTAGGGACAGGTGTAGCGAGCTTGAAGTTCTTTGAGAATTTCATCAACTCGTTCAGCTTCACCGTTCGGTCATACGATGCCTGGTTACGGCGCCGCTCCTGCAATTTCAGTTTCTCACTGTTGGCAAACTGACGGAAATGGTCTAGAACCTCAGCTTCCACATTGGTAGAGGCATTCTCAGCAGCGGGCCGTTTTGGAGCTGAGGGGACAGATGAGGTAGCTTTGATTGGAACCGACTTTTGTTCCGATTCAGCGACCGTCGTGGCCATCGTTGCAATCGACTTTGGTTGAGTTTTGACAGGTTCCTTGGGTTGGACGGGAGCCGGAGCTGCATCTTTCGGGGTGGCAACTGTCTGTTTGACAGTGGTAGTGGCTTCGGGGGTTGCAACAGGCTGAGCAGCGGGCTGCGCAGCGGCTTGTCTACGCGCCGGCGGAGTGTATTTGTTCGGCTGTCCTGAAACGAGCGGCGGAAAGTTCTTCTCATCGCGGCGGACGCCGCTATATCTGTCTTCCTCGTCCAACCCACTGTCGTCGACCGGAGCCAAGCCTCTTTCCTCCCTGACATGAACATTGTCAACATCGGTACCCTCAATCTCACGAGCGATACGAGCAGCTTCTGCCTCTCTTTGTTTGTATGAAGGATCGGAACGGTCTATTCGAGTGGTGTAAATATTCTCGTCATAGCTGCTAGTGGCGCCAAACAGCCTTTCATTGGCCTCGAATTGATCCCATCCGGTCGTTTTGTTTGTACTTTCAAGGGACATGTCGACCTCGGTGTCAGCTGCAGGCTCCCATCGTTTCAAAGTTCGTTCACGCATCGCGAAGTTTCCTGAAATATCGGTATCCGTCCTGAAGCCACTTGAAGCACCTAAGACTTATCAGCAAGGAACATTTTTATTGTGATCGGTATTGGGAACAAGTGCAAAAGGCGGCATACCATTAGGCGCCTTAGCTGTGACTTCCGCAGTCGAAACATTCGACACAGCAATATCGACCACATCCTTGACATCAAAGGACATGCTATGATCTGGCGCCGTGCCCAGAAAAGGGCTGACGACATCACTCACACCATTGGCCCGTTGATGGTCTTGTTTTGCCGGCCGTTGGACCATCTTGAGAAGAAAAGAAGAGTCGTTAGGTTCGAGGGACGAGGAAGAGAAGATGCCAGTGAATCTCTCTCCGCTTCTTGTAGTGATAGTAGCATTAAGACCCTAGATATAATGAGCGTCCTATCCTTCATATCCGGTTCATGTTTATGATCATGGGGCGACAAGCTTACAATGAAGCTGGTGAGCAGGAAAATGAGGCGGTCATGGGCATGATGATCGGGCGTGTTCGATTCTTTCGAAGTGGGTTTGGGAGAAATGGAAGGTTTGGGAGTCATGTTTCCGTTGTGCGGTGAATACGGGGATCTCTGGGTGATCGGATTTGTACCCTGAGTCCAAGCCTTCTGAGAATTGCTGCGTCTACAGGATGGTGTTAGCAAACCACGGCCATCTTTTGAAAGACCATCGACCCTAAAGTTTCATTCAAGAACCATTGTGCTCGAAAAAGATTTGAGAAGGTCAATGGGGAGGGGACAGAGGGTATGACTTGATGGCAGTAAAGTATACAGATGAAATATAGAGAGAGCTCGGGGTCAATGAACTTGGGAATTGAAAACAAGATACGAAGAAGAATACTGCGAGGAGACCAGCGGTGAAACGAAACAACATGAGAGCAAATGATTGCTATGGAACAGATGAGGTGCGATTCAAACAACGTACCGAGCACCGCCCTCAAATGGGCTTCCGGATTGCCGCCGACCACCATCCGATATCTTAGAGCTAGTAGTCCTTAAGGACGGTCTGCCAGTCGAATTCTGCGAAGACACATTGACAGCATTGACAGCATTGCCAGTAGCATTGCTGGCAGCTGACACAGAGTTGACGGTGGAAGCCATGGTCAATCAAAACAGAGCCCGCGCCGTGAAAATCGGCACGACGCAAGGCTAGAGAAAGTATGAGACCTTGAGCAGGCACGAAGCCACAGCACAGCGGCTGCACTGACAAGGCGACGAAGGACAGCTAGCGAATTAGGACGGTGGTGACGCGGGGAAGGAAACAGCAAAGGGAGAAAAAAAGGGTCGAAGCAGCTCTCGAAGAGGAACGGAAGCACAGCGCTTCGACCAGCGATAGGAAAAAAAAATACTGAAGAGAGAAAAGGAGGGAGGGGGAAAAATTATTCAAGATGTAAGAAGAAGAGGGGAAGGAGGGTGAAGGTGAAGGTGAGGATGGTGGTGTGTTTAGAGTCTAGACGAAGGAGGTGTGGTAATGAGGTTCAGTAAGGTGGTGGTAGTGGTAGTAAGGTAGTAGTACTAAGGTAAGGTAAGGTAAGAGGTGTGAAGAGTGCAGACTACGGGGTACAAAGTACTAGTGGGAATATGGAGGTAAGGCACCAAGGCTCCAAAATCTGGTATTGGTGAGACTTTACAGCGCACATACTAGGTACTCACACTTAGATTACCTTAGACCCAGGAAGCTCCAGAGGCCAAGCTCCTGTTATGAATAAAAATGATGACGGTGGATAGTTTCACCACAGTTGGTTCCAGATACGTAAGGCATGATGATGTCGATGACACCGGCAAACTTCGAGGGGTCTGGAATGGAAAGTAAGCATAAGGTATCCTTGGTTGATTGCTAACAGATAGACTCTCGGGACTACCTTAAGATATAAACCGCTTGCTACAAAGTCCTGGTTTCACCTTCAGTAGGTAAGTGGGAACGAGAATAGTGTGATCTTGAGAGGGCTGTGGATGCCTGAACAGTGCCATACTACTATAATTTTCCACACAATGGCATTGTTGTTTGGGGATTCAGATGAGATGTTTTGCTACTATGATTGATGTCTTTGAATTTACAAAGATAGATTTCAAACCTACATTAACCTTGGAGCCATCTACAGAGTATATTTCACTGATTTGCGATCAATACGCTGACAATTGACAAGTTAATGTGTGCCTGCCTCGCTAACCACTGCCTTTTCACCATTTATTAGGTACCTTAGCCTGGTTGGCAATCCTACCATAAGGTAATGATGCTCATCTAGGTGCTCGCATTTGGTAATTCAGTCTCCATGTCGATAATTTGCTACTTAGATTTAACAGGGTATATCTACTTTAATATTGTCTCGTCATTCTTCGCCTCACGAGAGCAACATATCCATACAGAGGAAGCAAATTCAAGGTGTCTCTAAGATACATACATAGGCAGGTACTCCGTGGTACAGTACATAAGTATCTCCACCCACGTACATATTGGTCGTACGCTAGAATAAGCGTCACCTACGAAAGTACTCCGATCGGTTTTGACACTTATATACATTGTTCCCTATGAAGTGATAGACTACGACTCTCACCAGATTGCTTTGAGTTGCTATCGTCATTGTCCTTGTGCGATACAACAGACGAAGAAAGGCGGAGGCTGGTGTCTTAAGATAGATAGCATCATAGCAGCTGAAACTTCCCTCTTAAGGCCCCCAATTCTATGGATGAGTTAGGCTAGTATTAGTGGCCTCAGACAAGGTGCATGCCTTGAGAAGCGCCTAATCATCAACCATCTATCTAACCACTAAAATCCACCAGATCGGTACTTACTCTACCTTACTCCGTACTACTATTTTAGATATTAAATGTCACTCTATCTACAAGATAGGTGCGCACTGCGGACCTACGGCCCAAGACGATCAGCATTCAAGTCCACCATTGAGAACAGTCTGCTATCCACCACAAGAGGTGGCTGGTACGATTTGGGGGCTTGTTTGTCTCACTCTTACACTTCCCTTGACTTTCTTAGGTTCCTTCATCTTCACGTAATTACAGTGTTACAGTGACTTTCTCTCCCTTCCCACCTCACGCACTCTCCAGGTGTCAGTCGGCCCCCTCCCTTTCCCTTTCGGCGACCTGGGTTTCTCCTTACCACTTCACCTGAATACTGCAGCGCTCCCCCCCGTGCTGTTTAAAGGAAGGTGTTCCCACGGTGTCTCCACGAATGCAGTCTACCTTAAGCGGTTCCTCTCGCTCCCAGCGAAGTCCACCTCAACACATTCCCGCTGGGTCTGCGAGCAGTGCTGATTCCGCCATGACCTCGCAATCTTCCGCACCACGCAGTTCGTCCAGCTCAGGCAGGTCTCAGTCGTCAAGGACTGTTGTGGTAAGCTTATTGTCCCGCTGTCGTGCCTCTCGACAATCCAAAAGATACTGTATTGTTTTCTTGTTTTCGGCATTATTTATGCTAACGACGCTTTCGCTTTTCAAATCCACACAGCCCGATAGACAAATTTCCCAAATCGAGAAAAGTGTCACCCATCTCCTTGTCGCTACAAAACAACTGCTGGAGACCTTGACCCAATGGTCTCGAAGACAGGCGTCCGAGAACGAAGTCTCAGACGTCTATGTGCGATTGGGTTATGAATTTAACCTAGCCTGCCGCGCCTTCAATGCGATTGGTGTTGATACCTCCGACCTGGGCCCAGTGCCCGACCTCCTCCGCACAATCCTCGAAGATACACTGAGCCAGGATGCGTCTCCTCAGAGCCTCGATCGATACCTGCCTCGTATTCGTGACATCATTATCAACCTCCTCCATGGTCTCAAGAAGAAGCAGGCTCGCTTGCGCTCGCGGCAGCAAAGGGAAGAAAGCCGTCCCTTACCTGGCCGGCAGGCAAGCTCGGGGAGTGCCGTCATAAACCAGATGTATGAGGAAGCCACAGCCACTGTCACGTCTCCGAAAAGGCCAGGTGGTCGCCGGCATGGAAGCAATGGCTCACTCGAAGACCAGTCCGGTGGGGCTCATGCTGGTTCTACAGTGCAGCCTTCAAGCGACGCGAGGGGCACTAGCTACTCGGAGAGAGAAGCGTCAAGACGAGAGGCGCAGCAGATCCTATCTCAGCCATCGCAACCTGAGACCGAAACTCCCTCCAGGGTAGCCATGCCTTCACCCGACTTCTCTGGTTATCCTACTCCGCCACCTCCACCCCCTCCCCCCAAGCAGGACGATGCTTTGGGTGCTTTACAGAGAAGTGGAGAACTGGAAAGACGGGCCTCGCGGCGGTTTTCCGCCTACCAGATACAAAAACATTTGGGAGCATCGACAAATGGCGTCCCCGTTCTGCCAACCCAGAATTCTCCCGTCCCAAATCGTGGTCGTGATGTCCGCGAATCTTTAAATGCGGTTCGCTTGCGAGGGTCTTACGCGCACGGGAGACAACGGTCGACGAATCGTCCGCATGATGCGGTTACCCCAAGCAAAACTGCGAAGCCCTTGCCATCCCCTCACCCTGCCCAAGGAGGAGAGGACGAGCTCACCAAAGCTCACACCGCATCTCCAACAGAGCCTCAGGCAAATGGTTCCGTTGCACCCCAAATACGTCAGGACAAAGTGCCACACCGGCCTGGGGATAACCCTACAGTCACCGGAAAACAACCTGGGCTGCCTCGGTCTGCCGAGGAACCATCCCTGGCGGAGGCATTTGAACCGACCAAGGATTCTTCCATACCTAATGAAGGAGCAACGCCGGGCACACCAAGCTCAACCATCCAACGACCCTCTACTGGTGTATCAACGCCACCGCAGACCTCGCAGTTTACGTCCGATCAGCCGTCACCTGGAAAAGAGCTTACCTTATTTTTACAGTACAAAAGCAAGATCAAAAAATATGTTCTTCCGGAAGGCTACAGCGGGTTAACCATCGGAAGACTGCAGCTTGCGTTCATTGAGAAATTTGCGTGGAACACACACAACAACGGGGTCGATCTGCCAGAGATATATATTCAAGACCCGATCTCCGGGGTGCGGCATGAATTGGAAGATTTGAATGACGTCAAAGATAGATCGGTCCTTGTCTTGAATGTGGATATACTTGATGAGGTCAAGAAGCATTTCGATGATGAGCTTGGGGGAGTTCGTCGTCTGATTGAAGGCGTGAAGGGCTCTCTTGATGGACAAGAAAGTATCATTCAGCGCGTGTCAGACCGTCAACTAGAGGCCGCAAAGGAGATTGCGCGCCTGGCCGCCGCGCCCCCCGTGTCAATTCCCACTTCTCTTCAAGATGGAACCGCTCGGAAGGGTTCTATTACTGGAAGTAACAGCCAACTGGCTGAACTTCAGAGTTTGAAGCGTGACCTTGCAGTGCTACGGCAGACATACTCGAATTTCTCCTCGGATATTTCTAGCTCGATGAATGCGATTCGCACTAAGGCAAATAGTGTCAAATCTGCGGCTGCAGATGTTGCCGTGCCGTCTTATGAAGGCGATGCTGGTCGTGCCCGTGTCAACGCCGGCAAGAAAGAACTCGCAGATGAGTCGGAACGACTCGTTGGGCGCGTCGACGACCTTCAGGATTTGGTTGAAGATCTTCGTAAAGACGTGGTATCACGTGGAGTCCGACCACTCCCAAGGCAGCTAGAGAGCGTCAGCAAAGAAATCAGCGCCGTCACCAAGGAGATGAAGAAGATGCAAGAATTCCTGAAGCGGGAGAAACCGATTTGGACGAAGATTTGGGAGAAGGAGCTCCAGCTTGTGTGTGAGGAACGTGATCAATTAACCATGCAGGAAGATCTGGCTGCGGACCTCGAGGACGATCTCGAGAAGGCCGCGCAGACTTTTGCTCTGGTTGAGCAGGCTACCAAACAGCAGGCGTTGCAGCAGAATGTCAACGGAAGCGTTGCTTTGCGAAACACATCGCGTAACGTGGTAATTGACCCAGCGATCGACCCCATGAAGGCGAAGGATGACCTTCTGGGTGAGGTTCGCGCACTCCAGCCTAATCATGAATCTCGATTAGAGGCGATCGAAAGGGCAGAGAAAGCTCGACAGAAGGAACTCGAGAATCGTCGGATAGGGCTCTTCCAGAAAGAGCTTGGGGCGTTTGTTCAAGAGGGAAAGCTGAAGAAGAGCGGCGGCGTGGAAGAGGCTGAGCGACAACGTCGAGTCAAAGATGATCGCATCCGGAAGGAGGTTTGGGAGAGACAGCAAGCCCGAGCAGCGGAAATGGAGAAGGCAGAAGCGGAATCGGCAGCGGCAGCATCTTCCCAGCCCGAGCAGTCGGACCAGTCCGAACAGGCTGAGCAGCCTTCAATCAAAGATTCGACAGAAGACAACACTGAAGCAAGCGCCAAAATTGGAGATGCAACGAGTAAGGGCGAGGAAAAGACAACACCTTCGGCAGAGGCTTCGGCGTCAGAGGTGATCGACGGAAAGGGAGAAGATACTAAGGAGGATGAGCCAACAACAAGTGAAGGCCCAGTGGACTCGACAACACCGTAAGATCTGTTGTTGATCTACTTCCGACGCCATTGAGCACGTCAAATGACCTAGCCTACCCCTTCCAAGTCTCTTCGAGAGCCCTTGGCCGCACCAAAGCGGCTCATTTGCGATTTTTGTTTAACGTTTCATTCTTTCTCTTCCCTTTCCCTCCTTCCACAGTCATCTCTTTGCAAATTGTTCTTGTCATGCCAGTACTCTGTCTATTCATGTCCATCTGTGTTTTCATCCCTGGCATTACATTGCTCGAAAGCGTGAGCATTGCATGTTGCTGACGATACCCCTGTTTTCATGCGGCGTGTTATGACCCTTGTGACGATACATACTATTGTCCTTGCATCCTTTGACATATTGCAGCTTCAAGTAACTTTATAGCTACCTCAGCGAGGAATAGAATATGTGCATACTCCAAACGACGTATTACCTGCCATGGCCCATGGCAGTTAAGGAAGACCATAACTACCTACCTACTTATGCTCTCATACCAACACAAAATACAATAAGGTACATTCATGGATCTGATACTACTAGGTCATGATACATGAAAAGCGGTGAGTAATGAAGCTCCGTATTGCCAGCAGAATCAGGTGTCGAGTTCCCCAGCCACATGTTTATTATTGAGGAGCATTTTCATATCTCAAGCCTGCAGTGCTCTGATTCTTATTCTGCTCCTTTTATACCAATGAGAACCCTTTAGGGACTTGATGACTTGAGAATCAATGTAACTACTTCTCCACTGCCATTCTATCTGGCAACCTTATCGATAGGCATCTGGAAGCCTGGATAAGCTATATACCTGTGCTTGACCGACGACTACATTGTCGCTCTGTAAGATGTCTCCATCTGCTCTTTAAGACTAGATGAATGTTCCTAACCGAGTCAAAGCTACAAGAGGGTACACGGTTCGATGTGGCCCATCCGTTTCATAGTCTGGGCCCTGGTACCCGCATCGATCCCAGTGCATGCCTTCTCAGCGAATGGCAGCTCGTGGCCGATTCCAGCCATCAAGGATGTCCCCCGACGGGGTGACGATTTTCAGCTTGATCTCGTGAGGGCAGTCATCCGCGGTGTGAAGAAGATGTCCGAAGATGAGGGGGAGAAGTTTTTCTTTGATTATTGGGACCTCCAAGGGACAGACGAGATTGGTCTGACAACAACGAACGAGACATGTAGCTCTCAAAGCTATGAAACACGGGAGGCGCCGGAGATCCAGCCTCGGGCATATCCCTTTCGGCCGTCTGTGCCGACTAATATGGGCTTCAGCCCGCTGTTTCGGCGAGATTTCAAATGCCCGACTGGCACTTTCGCTTGTACGGCGATTGACCGGCCGAACAGCTGTTGTGGGGCTGGAGACACCTGTGAGCTGGTCCAGGGCACTGGGTTGGGTGATGTAGGGTGTTGTCCACAAGGCCAGACTTGTTCTGGCGTCATTGGATCCTGTCAGCAGGGGTACATGAGTTGTCCGGCTTCGATGGGAGGGGGTTGCTGTATTCCTGGCTATGAGTGTGTCAGTGGCGGGTGTAGGTTTCAAGTTGCTGATTCTGCGGGTCAGATTGAGTTTTATCTGAGTGAAAGGCTGATTGACGTTTGTTTGCACAGGTGCCTACATCTACACGGTGACAGTGACCTTGAGTTCCACCGTCATAGTGTCCACTGCTACTCGGACCGTCCCTCCAGAGACAAGCCAGTTTTCGAGCAGCAGCAGCAGCAGCAGCAGCAGGACAACACAATCCACGGGCGAACTGACGCCTCCAGCTCGACCTACCAGTCTCTCCACCGCCACCACCTCACAGAGCAGCCAGACAGGCTCAATCTGTCCAACCGGATTCTATGCTTGTTCTGCTTATTATGAAGGAGGCTGCTGCCGCACAGGACGAGACTGTGACACTACGTCCTGCCCTGTGAAGGCATCGTCGACCATCACATCGGACGGCCGTACCATCGTGGTGCCAGCCCAAACGACAACTGCGGCGAGCGGAACGGGACGATGCGCCAGCGGCTGGTTTAGCTGTGCAGACACTGTGGGTGGAGGATGCTGTCCAACTGGGTATGCATGTGGTTCCAGCTGTACCGCTGTAGCAACTGCATCTGCTAGCGGAACCTTGGCCAAAAGCCAGCCACAGAATGCAGCCAGCCGACACTCGATCAGGGCGATATTGGCGATTGGCGCTCTAGGGATGATGATATGGATGATATAGAATTCTTGATGACTGAATGGATCTATGACAATGATAACAATGACATTGATGATGATGATAACAATAGAATTATATGAGTCTTGTGAACGTCTTCACTCTAAAATACCAGTTCACGACCTTTTTGTCGGATAAATGAATGCGGAAATACAGACCCCGTGGGGCGGTTCCTGAGGACGGCACGTGGGGGTAGCGAATATTACCCGATGGGGACGAGACCCGGTGAGCGAGCACCGAGACTCTCCGACACCGCAGAACCTCGTTTGCTATCTTCACCACTTCCTCAGGCTCACGGTTGCGTTCCATTCTTTTGCTCTCCCTGCTGTTGTTAGGTCTGTGTTTGCTTTTTCATAGCTCTTTTGACATCTGTGTCTGAACTTGATTAGGGTCTGGTCATTTAGCATTTCTTTGTTTATCTCACTCCGGATAATCGCTTGCCCACCATGTCGTCTAGCAACCAACAGCCTCTTCCGTTCGCCTACCAGTTCGTCGCCGGAGCTGTCGCTGGTGTATCAGAGGTATGAGCTCACTGAAGGTCATCGGCCACCGTGTTACTGAGTGCTAACTCAATTGCTGGCAGATTCTTGTCATGTATGCGATACCCCGGTCAAACCCACCCATAATCTTCCACTTGGACTCGTTAACGAATGCGATTTAAATTACACAGGTACCCGTTAGATGTGGTCAAGACGCGAGTGTAAGTGCTTTGGAAAACCTCCACGTGCCAGTGCGATCTTGCGAAGTCGGGGTGATAGGAAGCGCGACTGACATGTGGACATCCTGCCACAACTTACAGGCAACTTCAGTCCAACCTTGCTACCGCCGCTGCAGAGGACAGATACAATGGCATGTTTGATTGCTTCCGCAAGATCATCAAGAACGAAGGGTAGGTCCATAAGCACGGAGCTCATTCCCCATTGGACGGGCAGGAAGGAAATGACCCGAAATTCCTCACGGCGGAAGCTAATCCTGGGACCCTTGGTCAGATTCTCACGTCTATACCGCGGTATCTCGGCCCCCATCCTGATGGAGGCTCCCAAGCGTGCGACCAAGTTCGCCGCCAACGACAGTTGGGGCTCGTTCTACCGGGGCCTGTTCGGCGTGCAGAAGCAGACACAGTCGTTGGCCGTGCTGACAGGTGCCACCGCGGGCGCCACCGAGGCCTTCGTGGTGGTGCCCTTTGAGCTGGTCAAGATCCGTCTGCAGGACCGCGCCTCCGCGGGCAAGTACAACGGTATGCTGGACGTGGTGCGCAAGATCGTCGCCACCGAGGGCCCTCTTGCCCTGTACAACGGTCTCGAGTCGACGCTGTGGCGTCACATCCTCTGGAACGGTGGCTACTTCGGCTGCATCTTCCAGGTCCGCTCGCAGCTGCCCGCCCCAGAACCCGGCAACAAGTCCCAGCAGACCCGCAACGACCTGATCGCCGGTACCATCGGTGGTATCGCCGGTACCGTCCTCAACACCCCCATGGACGTCGTCAAGTCCCGCATCCAGAACTCCCCCAAGGTCTCCGGCCAGGTGCCCAAGTACAACTGGGCCTGGCCTGCCGTTGGCACCGTCATGAAGGAAGAAGGTTTCGGCGCCCTCTACAAGGGTTTCATCCCCAAGGTGCTCCGTCTGGGTCCCGGTGGTGGTATTCTGCTCGTCGTCTTCACCGGTGTCATGGACTTTTTCCGTAAGATGCGCAGTGAATAGAAGATGCATTTTATTTAGCATGAGAGTCCAAAAAGTGATTTAGATGAATCGACATGTCTCGCCGACCAAGAATGTCTAGGTATGAGAAACGAATTGTAAAAATAACGACGATTGCAGGATGCCAGTGTATATCTCCTATAAAAACCGGCCAATCTCTAGTTACCAGGTCATACTCAAATAAGCAGGAAAGATTGTGTCAGTCTTATTCGAACGCCCTCGATTAATTAGAACAAGTGATAAAGAACTATATTAGGAATCGAGGGCAGCCTCGTCCACAACAAGAGCCAAAGGTACATTGTAAAGCCGTAGCGCAGTAAATCCGTGTGTAATGAGAACGCATCCGAAACTAGCACAGAACACAGACAGCCGTGTATGTCAAGAGAGAAAGGGAAATAGGGTATCGATATAAACGTAAACGAAACAGATGCCGGAGACTGGAAACGAAAAATCAAGGCGAGTCAACAGATGGTGCAAGGAGCGTGGCTGGCGTGAGATTATCGCCGAGGAAAATAAAAGTTGGAGGTATCATAAACTGGTGCTATGCAGCGATACCGACGTCGAAATGCAACATAACACCAAGGGCAGGGGAAGCTGGAAAGGAGGAAGAGGAAGCAGGAAAGTAGAACAACTAAGGTAAATCCTGAAACGGACGAACCCACGAATATAACACGATAATCGGATAAACTGCGATAGCTCAAACAGTAACAAGCGACAGATGATGAAAACCTTAAATCCGGATGGCAACGATGAAAATGACGATATGTCAAGACTTCCGCGTACGCCGGTCAACTGCTGACCCCCCATCCCTCCATGTGACGCCTGTGTATGCAATATGTCATGACATGCACTCGTAGAAATAATGACTGATTGAGCTGCGATCCCACAGAAATGAAGAGATACTCTAGTTCATCTCCATTGCGTACTCATCTTCTTCCTTGAAGCTCATTCCCGTGTGGCCTGAGCTGTTCCAATATTGTGCTTGACCCGAGTTCCCACCGTTGGTGCTGCCGCCACTGTTGTAGGATGGACTGAGACTCTGCGGGCTCAGCGCACCGTTCTGCGCAATAGCCTCGCCCGCCAAGTTGGTATGCTTGGGCACTCTCAAGCCGCTCCCGGGCCCTCGGCTGTAAGTGAAGGTGCTAGGATCGTTCTTCTCCAAGGCGTCCAGGATCTCACTCCGCATGCGCTTCTCCTCCTCCGTTTGTTCAAACGGCCAGGTGCCTCCAAGACTAGTGATCAACTCCGCGAGCTCAGACTCCTGTTGCAGCTTAACATGCAGAGCCCACATCAAGTCGCGCATCCAACCCACGGCACCGTTGAGGATGTCACCCTTGTTAGGGCCCTTCTCTTTCTCCTCGATGGGAAGACCCATAGTGATATTACCGGCAGTGGCACGACGGCCATTGCCACCGGCCAGGAGAGAGGTGGCTACGTTTGAACTGGATCCATTTCCTGACATGGTACTGTTATTGACAAGCTGTTTCCGGACCTTGTCATCCTCCAGACGATGTTGCGGCACGAGGTGAGAAAGATCCTGAATACGCTCGTTGATGTTGTCTCGCCGACGGCGCTCGACCAGATTGTGAGAAGCTCTCCGGCGCCGACGCTTTGCTTCTTGCGATTCCAAATCCTGGGCGCTACCCGGCATGTGTGTGTCAACCTTGGCGGGCAAAGAGGCGTGTTTGCCAGACTTGAGTATCTCCGAGATAGCAGCATGATGAGATGGATGACCCGGCGATGAAATGGGGGACTCCACACCGAAGGAGTGAGCGCTTCCGGGAGTGCCGTCCCACTGGTTGGACAGAGTCTTCTGATGCCGTGGTTGTAGTCCAGTACGGATCGGTTGCGTAGGGAAACTACCAGATTCCGGAGTTCCAAGAGTCAGGGCACCCAAAGCTGGAGTTTTGGGGGTCATGGGGCTGCGCCCATCGGAAGATGTGCGGTCGATCGCCTGTAAACTTGGGCGTGCCTTGGCGTTAAGGTAGCTCTGCTCGAAATGAGAACCCTGAAGATGGGAGGGATTGTGTTGTTGCTGGTTCAGGCCGCGGAAATGATCATAATTGAAACTGTGCATGAAGGGGCTGTGCATCGGAGCCCCGTCAGGGGTGTTGGAATACATCTGCGACATATGACCGGGATGACTCATAGAGATGCCGGCACCAGAGTGGTCCTGGAGGAAATTCATACTGGTATCGCGTTGAATCCCATTCTGACCGCTGATTTCCAGGTCCAGCAACTCGTCTGTATCGATTCCGGAGTTTCCAAAGTTAAAGCTTGACGACATATTCTGTTGTGAACCGAACGGGTAGGACATGAAACCGCTGTTCTGCATACTCAGCTCCGAGGGATCCACGGCATCATTGGAATTTCCAAATTGGTTGGATATGGAGTAGCCGTTCTGCGACATCATGAAGTGGCTGTTGTTGTTGTGGTCGTCTGGGTCGCTCTTGATAAAAATGCTCGCTTCAGTCATAGCGTTTGGGTAGATAGCATAGACTGGCTCCCCGAGTGTAACTCAAGAAGAATATGGTATTCGGAAGTTGTGTGGCGATGGAACTGAAAGGTTTCAGGAATGTATCAGGTATTGCGACAAGATGTGAATCCCAGATACTCGAGCGATGAAATGAAGTAATTCTATGGAGATGCACCGACGGATATGTTATTGCATCGAGAAGGGTACTTGATCACTTTGGTAAAGGGGATATGAAAGCTGTTGGTTGTCTGTAAGGCGACCGTCAGCTGGCCAGATTCCAGGAAGAATGGGCATCATTCAGAGATGTGAGGGGCTGCACGATGCATGCGCCAATGAAGGAAAAATCCACAGAAGAAGAGAGAGATGATACGTACGCTTGTATGGATAAAAGGAGAAAACTTGATGCTGGCAAGACGAAGTTGGGTATATTATTGCCGGACAGGTGGCTTTGTGAACCGATCAAGGGATATGATTCGGAAGCGGGCGATTCGGAGAAGGCGCGTATCGTGGGGGATCCAAAAGTCAATAGGCCACACCGACGATCGTCCGCGAAGAATGATGAGTCAAGATCTCGGCAGCCCTAAAAATAAGCAACTGGCAAGTGAGAAAAAGCGCAAACAATTGTGAGCCAATAAAATCCTAGGAAAGGAGATTCAGATGATAGAGAGAGTTAATCAATCCAGGATGAGGATGCGTGTCCAGGAGGGATTTGGTTGAAGAGAAGTGTGATGGCGGTTGCGGCCGGAAGGCAAAAGCAGTTGTAAAAAGGAGAAGAGGCGCGGCCAGACCAGACACAGAGCCAGACAGACAGACAGAGACAGAGACTGGGTCCGAGGAGGCGATGTGGATTAATATTTTGGGGTTTGGGGGGTTGAGCCACGATCAGGGAGAACCAACAAAAAAGCAACGCTGGCTGAGCCTTTGGAGGCGAGCAAGGTATTCGCAGGCAGAGAACTCCGCGGTTCCTCTCTCCTTTGTCTTCTTGCGTTCTCTCTAATTCTTTCTTTTTGTTCTTTTTTCCACGATCCTTGGAGGATATGAGAGATCTTAGAGCAAGAAGAGGGCTAGTGAGGGGGGATAAAAGTGATTACTAGATCCAAAATTGACCTGGAGAGGCACAGTGGGGTAAGCCAGGTGAATATTGGACAGCGAAGCCCGGAGTTCGAGAGAGGCGGTGGGCGAGAAATTGATCAATATGATCCGTAAAGGGGACCCGTAACGATACATCCAATCAGTCCGCGATTGACTGATTGATATTAAGATCATTGATATGGGATCTATCGTTCCGTCTCGTTGAGAACAATAATAATGAGAGGAGAGGGGGGAGAATCGTCCCCAGAAGGCGGTCAGAGCGACAACATGCGGAGCTTCGACCCCTTAGGTTGTATATGGATCACGGAGCTGTCCACGAATATCCTCAACTCAACGATCGCTCATTGTTGCTGTTTCTTGCCTCTCCGGTTTCAGATCATGTAATAGACTCTTGTCCCTTGCATTCCATGCTCATGCAAAGTGAAGCACCTTTTTTTTTTTCTCCTCTCACCGGCTTCGGGCGGGTGTGAGACGGAAATCCAGGTCCGAAAGGGTAGTCCTCCGTATCCTCTAGCAAACGGTACTAGGTTGCCCCTCTGCAGCTCAGCCTTTTCCTTGGGATGTCCGAGCAATCAAATAGTCGAATCAGCGCCACCGCAAACTCTTCAGCAGAAATCTGCGAACAGCTTCTGCTCACGTTTCTGCTGACAGTTTCCCTGCAACGCTCGATGCAAGCGAGGTTGTGCAGCAGATGGATAGCGCTGTAAGATGTTGTCCAGAGGGAGGGGTATTTTCCCCAGGATTCGAAGTATAATTCCTTGGCTCAGTCATATCCATTCCAAAGAGGAGGGGTAGGTATAATCCGCCTTGTTTCGGAACCCTGCCTTTGGTGGAAGAAGATAGGCCAACAGGCATCATGGCTTGTCGCGTCTCACATTGATTATCCTGCATAGAGGAATCCCCGCATGGTCCTTTTGCCCGGGCTGCAACTCTCGGGCCTCATAATATTTGATCTCCAGGATACGGCAGCAATGACAGAGATAGAAACATATCAAAGAGAAGAGAATAGAATATTCACTTACCAAGCGATGACTTGAAATGTGATGATTAAAGCACTCTCTCTCGTGGAATCTGTTTTGGCAGTACGGATCAGCTCTGATCTCTCAGGAGGATAGGACGCTCTTCCATGCGCAGAACAACATAAGAAATACGGAGAGAGTGAGATGAGGTCTGGGGTTTTGAAGAGAAACACACGTGGCAGAGCAGCAGCTCCAAAGAGTCCAATCAATCGAACAGGCAGAAGCGCAAGAGCCTTATCTTTGTGAGACCGGTGCAGGGGAAAAGAAGGGGCAACAGCAAGTGCAGGAAGTTGAGAAGAGCACAAAGCAAGACGAATCCAGGGAAGAGACAGAAGCAGAAAGAAACAGAGGAAGCCATGAGGCTCAGCTGGGATGACTTACAGCTGCTTGAGGTTATCCGCTTGGTACACGGGAAA